TCCATGTTGTGTTTAATTGTCACATCTCTTTTCTCTTCCCGAATGTGGAGTAGCCGCTGTGCCTTTGTCTTGTGCGACTGTGACGTTGTTGGTGCATTCTGGCTCCCTGTCCCCATGTTGGATTTTTGTGGTGTTTCCTCCTGAACAGACTCAGGATGTACGTTCTTAGATTACAGCGTGGGAGACGTGCGTCCTCAAGGCATCACGTCTGGACCTGGCCTCTTCTCGGTGACATTGATGTCGTCACTCAGGGCTGTCCCGCCTCTGCAGTGCTGCGCCTCTGCCCGTGTGTAGTGCATGTCTGTGGGGACACATAAGGCTCTGCAGGACCCTGCTTCTTGAGAGCACCCGAGACTCAGCCTTCGTCAGCACCTCTCGCCTATGGTCCCACTTTGAAAGCTGCAGAGTGATGGCTTTCCAACACCAGGACCCTCCACCTTCCCCAGCCAGCACCGTTACAATTGAGAGCCCTCTGTCATACATACATTTGTGCATACATCCTTTGTGCATACATCCCTTTATGTGCTATTTATTTTATTTAAATTATATTTATTTATATCTGTTATTGGAATGGAGTCACGCATTCTTATTTTTTCACAGTGCATAATTATTTACTCTTCTTAATTATCTTAATGCTCAAATTGTCCCAGATTTGGTAAGTAGAGCCCTTCAGTGTCGTCTTTGGCTGTGACCCCATCGTATTCTTGGGGCCTTTCTTCCTTCTGGCAGAACCGTGCGTTCCAGGCTCATCTTGTCCCTGCCCCAGCCTGGTTCTGCCGTTTCTCCCAGGAACCTGGCTCCTTTTCAAGGGTGCTGGTACCAAAGGCCAGATCTGGTGCCAGGAGGACTGCAGCCACTTGTGTCTTCTTTTCCAGACTCTGAGCAGGCAGAGCTCGGAATATATAAATATGTGTGTCTGTAATCATGCACATGCATGCCATATGCATATGTACACATAAGCATGCTTGTGAGTGCACACACATATCTACTTATACCTAGTGCACATGTGTGTACATGGGTACATTCACATACTTATTCTTACTTTAGAAATCTTGGGTTTACACTTATACTTTCAGTTCCTGTCCATTCCCATAGGATTCTCCTTGCCTGCTGCACCTCCCTTCTTATGCTGCGAGAACTTGGGCTCAAGGACATCACACGTTTCCTAATGTGCTCAGTTCATAAAATATCCAAAGTAGTTTCAGAATGACTTCACCCAAACCACTGCAAAAACAACCTACTAAAATGATCTGTTTGTAGTCCCCCCAATGAAGGTGTGTAGCACATGAGGTTTATAAAATCAGTGTTGCTGTCCTCACCAGGGGGTCTGGGAAGGGCAGGAAGGGCTGTGTCACCCTCATGTAGTCAAGAGTTAATTATTAAGCACAAAGGAAATGATGAAGTCATAGTCAATGCTAACACAAGGGTTTTTCATATGCTTACAGTTAGGGACTTTTGAGCTCTTCATGGGGTTTAAAAAGCATTAGTGTACAGGAGAGAGTTGGGTTACCAGGAAGCAACAAAGCAATTAAAACGCCTTGATTTTATCATATCGGTTCCTGCCCAAAATAATTGAATTAGCCTCAGTTCTCAGACAGATGCTTAGAGCAGGGCATGGGTTTGGATGGAGTCCCTGCCGGGTGAGCTTATCTCATCCTGCCTGTCTCACAGACAGCAGCTCTGGCATCTCAGGATCGAGTAGACTCCAGAGACCCCTGGCCCAGTGTCTGGCTCAGTAAGGGTCCCTTCCTGTTAAGTCAAGACCCCAGCCTTGCACTTGCCCTTCTTGTAGGCCTGTGGCTTGACTGGTGCACATCTGTCATCTGCTGGATTGTGTCACAGGTCAGGACTCAGTGGTAGGGCTGTGTCCAGCCCCATCAGCCTTAGGCAGCTACCACCTGAAGAAACCTGGGGCTGACGGGTGCCTTAGGGGGGCAGGCCTGACATTTCTGAATGATCAGAGTGGTGTCTGTTGGTACAGGAAGGAGCAGGCTTATCCTGGTGGTCTCAGAGGTGGAGCAGAACCCCTGACCGCAGCTGCTTCTGTTGTAGCACAGGGAAGGACTCCAAGGAAGTCACCGCTGGACCAGGTGGCAGGTTGACCTAGAGGGATGAATTTCCTGTCCCTTGATTGACGTTTTGGGGCTTTGTCAGCTGTAGTTCCTTAGGAGGCTCTCCATTCTGCCTCATTGACCTCCTGGTGCCCACAGCTCCTGGCGTTACTTGATTTGTGCATCGTGTGCTTTTGCCCACGAGATACCAGGGGCTACCAGTGCTGTGGAGGAAGGAATGTGGCTTTGGAGCTAGGGAGAGTGAGGTTTAATTCCTGGCTACGCCACTTACCATTTAAGATTTTGAGCAGAAATAGACCCTAATAGTACCAGTTTCTTCATCTGAGTAACGGGGGTGATATGTACCTCATAGGATCGTTGTAACAGTCAGAGACTAGACCTTGCTCTCTGTCTTGTTCCTTGTCTGTCTCTCCATCCCTGCCCTGTCAGAGATAAAAGGTAAAAAATGTTGGGTCTCTAGTCTCTGCATATTTTTAAAGCATCTGTCCATTACCAGTTTTCAAACTGGGCGGGAACGGTGAGCACGTTTGGTGAGTGCTTTGCACGTAGTGGGTGCCCAATGGCAGGCACAGCTCACGCCTCCTTTCTCTGGGGTCTCTTCCTGTTGGCAGCCTGAGGTCAGAAGGAGGACTTAGTATCAAGCACTCACCTTGTAAAAATATCACCGTCTGACCATATCCTCTGCACTGGGGAGGAGCACCACTCGGGAGGAGGACGAGTCACGTCACTGGGGCCTCAAAAGGGGTTGAAGGGCAGAGCATCTTAGGACCTCTCCCCACTTTGCAAAGCAAGGGCTGTAAGGTGGTGTTTGCATCCTTTGCGGGTGTGGTGACAAGCAGGGTGGGCCCTGGAGGGGCGGAGGGAGCACTCCAGCAGGAGTGTTCTGTAGGACAGAACCACGTGTGAGCTTGGTGTGGCCACCCCACGGGGTCCTCCACTTTCACTGGACCTATGGTGCGTGGGGACTGTCATGGGAGGCTGTTGGCTGTCCTGTTCTCAGGCTTTCAAGCAGGGTGTGTTGAGAGAGCAAAGCCCTAAGTGGACGCGAGTCCTTGGAGACGCTGCTTCTGCAGTTCACAGTTTGGAAAAGACTCTCAGAGGAGCCCTTCGCCGTGGGGATTAGGTCACAGGGAGCACAGACACCTCCTTGCTGTCAGGTAGGCCTTCCGAACCCACCGGCGCACAGCCTTGTGGAGAGAGAACAGTCTGTGAGGCTCACTGCATGGTTTGGTTTAGGCTTCAGTTTTGCCATATCCATTAACCACCTGTTCTCTTTCCAGACATTTTCTTTAAATTGCCTCCTTTTTCCTTTAAATTTCCTTATAAATCAAACTTTAATTATGGTAAATAAAAAACAATATCATGGCTTTACGTGGAAAATAACCGTTAAAAATGATTAAAACTAAAGTGGTTCATTTCTCCTTTGGGGACCCCTGCCCCAGCTCCCCGTGCGTGTTTCTGTGGAGACCTCACTCTGAGGCCAAGCTGCGGGGCCTGCTCTGCCTGTACTTGGTAGTGTCAGGGAGGTGGGCCCGCTGGGGCTGGGCGAGGCAGGGGGAGTGGGAGCAGTGGCCGCCAGGCCTTAGCCTGTACTGTGGGGTCAGAGCCCTCCCAGCCAGGAGCTCTGTGAGTGCCCCGCGTCGCTGCGGCACCTCGGTGTAGCGCCCTTTAGAAAGCGAGGGTAGGTATGCAGACACTGGGCAAGACCGAGACCCACCCTTCTGCGTTTGTAATAAAACTTGTTTTGGTGCCCAAAGACCAGGCAGCACAAGTGTCAGACTGGGGCATTGTGGACATCCACGAAATGCCAGATCATGCCCAGTTGGCTACCTGTGGGCCCATAAGAGAGTTCTGTGGGCTGGGAGTGAGTTCTGTGAAGCTACAGGGCTGTGCTTTCTGTGTGGAGGAGTGGTTCTCCCTCTGAGGGCCCCGCCCACGCTCACCCCCCACCCCACTTAGAGCCCCTTTAGAGCAGGTGGAAGAATCAGCATGTGACCCTTTATTGACAGAGGCTGAGCATTATCAGCAGTCACCAGTTATCTGTTTTTACATTTTAATGAGACTGTTTACACGGCACCTCCTTGTGCCCACTGTTATTTTCCTAGAGGTGACTTCTCAGCCACTCAGCCAGTGTTTCACTGCGGCACCTCGCCGACAGTCTCGCTGCATGTTAGGGAACGGCAAAGACTGTTGTAAACAAAACAGTGACTAACAGCATCTCAGAGACGTGGGTGGGTGTCCATTCAGGGAGAGCCCTCCTGGCTGATGCAGACCGAGCTGCCCCGTGTCCTGGTGAGGCTGCAGCAGAGCAGTTGGTGTCGTTCTGAGAGGCGAAGGGTGCTCAGGTGTGCGAGAGCACACGATTTTCCCTTTCTCTTTGACTTACTGTTTGCTGGTTAGCTAGTGAACTACAGATCGTAGCATGGAGACACATCGCCACGTCCAGGGTAGATCAGGTGAGTGCATTCTGTCTCCAGGCTTCCTTTTCCCCCCAAGATGGCAGATTTATTGCAGGTTTACCTTGTAACTAAGACATTTCATCCAAAGTGGCCTCTCCATTTGGCTTTTGTTGGACAACATCAGAATTGTTTTTGGCTGTGGGACACAGGTGTGCAGAGAGGAGCCAGTAATAAGCTGGTCACCAGTGGCCCTTTGATTTCGGAGTCCCACGGCCTGCAGTGAGTGTTTCTGGGTTGTGGTGGTTCTGTGTGACCAGTGCAAAATCAAAGAGGGCTTGTAGTGAGGTTTCCTCAACAGCCCCAAGGGCGAGCGACCAAGGAAGTGGGACTGTCACTGAGGCATTGAAGAGACCATAGCAGTGTCTGACTGAGGTTTAGAAATGACGTGGCCTGCCCTCCTGCCCTCCATGCCCTGCCTTCGTACTGTTCCCGGGAGGCACGCCACCTCTGGCTCTGTCCTCGCAGCTCTTCACACTGCACTGCTGAACTTCACGTCCGACTGCTCCGTGCTGTCTGGGATGACTGCCTTCAGGGCAGCGTGACAGAAGCGATTCAGAGCTGGCAAGCTTGTTTTCTGTTCAATGTACAGCCTCAGCTTGTCCCTAAAGGTCTCCCCGAGAAAGCTGTAGATGAGGGGGTTCAGGCAGCTGTTGGAGAAAGCCGCGAGGTTGACGATGTGGCTGGTCAAGGGGTAGGCGTGGCGGAAGGACTGTGTGCAGGGTGCAGCCCCTGGCTGTGCCTGCTGCAGGAGGTGGACGCTGATGAAGACGTTCTCTGGCAGCCAGCAGATGAAGAAGACGAGGACCACGGCGAGGATCATCCGCAGGGCCTTCTGCCTCCGCGGGCGCAGGCCCCGGTGCCGGTGGGCCTTGAAGAGCACGCGCACTATGAGGGAGTAGCAGAGACCGATGATGGCAAAGGGGACCACAAACCCCAGGGTGACCTCTAGCCACTGGACCTCCTTGACGTCTGCAAAGCAGAAGCAGAGCTCCTCGGTGTGCTGCAGCTGGGTGGCAGTGAAGGGCACGAGGGTGGCGGAGACAGAGGCCATCCAGATGAGGCCGCAGCTCAGCCTGGCGTGCTGCTTGGTGCGGAACAGGCCGGCGCGCATGGCTCTCGCCAGCGCAATGTAGCGGTCGAAGCTCATCCAGGTGAGGAAGAAGACGCTGCTGTACATGTTGATCTGCAGGAAGAGGGACATGAAGGTGCACAGGACGGTGATGTCATAGTACTGCTCGTCTAGGTTGAACACCTCGATCAGGGAGTCCGCCACCAGGATGAGGTCCGCCACCGCCAGGTTGATGAAGTACAGGTCGGGGATCGTCATCTTCTCACGGAAACTGATGTTCACCACCAGAATCAGGATGTTGCCCACAAAACCGATCGGGAAGAGGAAGATGGTGTACAGGCATGAGAGGAAGAGGCCAATCACGTACTGTTGGTGCTCGGAGAGGTCCCCGGTCTGGTTCCCAAGGGTGGTGCCGTGGAACGGGTGGGACAGGTTGGGTTCTGGAGCAGTGCTGTTGTGGGCTGCGGGCTGCAGGGTGCCTGGGTAGAGCTCCATGCCAGAGCTGCGGCCTCAGGTGGCCACATCCAGTCTCCACACCGTGCAGTGTTCAGGATTTGCTGAAAGGCTCACAGAAATCTGTTTTAAACAATGAACCCATCTTTACAAAGGAAGGTGGCCCTCTTTGAAGTGAGCCAGACATTTGTAAAACAGGAAAGCACATCACAGGGGCATGAATGACAGTTTGGGTTTGTTAATTCTCCGTCGACATCACCTTAAGGGGTTAACGGGAGGCTGCCCATATGGTGGTCCTTTCCTGGCGGCGTCTGCCGTGTTCAAAACACACCTGTGCTGCTTCTCTCTGGGCACCTGGGAGGGGACGGGAGAGATTGAGTCTCATTGTATGGCCTCGCCTTCCGGCAAAGCCTGATGCTGCCGGCCAGGTCTCTGTAGTGTGTCCCACGAGTACTGGGGGGCAGGCAGAACTTTTGAGTTTTATTATCTCGGAGAGATGGTTGTCACCGAGCAGAAGCAGAAGAGGCACATGTGGAAAGTGCCCTGTGTTCTCTGCTCAGGGCTCCCCTGGCTGCTGAGTCCGAGCTGGAGTGGGACCATGAGTCACCCTCGCAGGCCGGGTGACCTCCCTAATGGTCAGATCCAGGCTCGTGAATTCACATGGACCCTGGGTATGGGAATCTTAGGAAAACTACTCCTTACTAGGAGAGGAAGTAAAACTTAGTCCAGCAGCTGTTGGGAAGAGAGATGAGATGGGAAGGAAAAGCTCAGTGTTTCTGAAAGTGGATCCAGAAAATATCAGTTGTGGAAATTAAAGCAGAATCTTTTCTCTTACAATAAAATATATAAAAGAAATTTAGCTTTTTTGCTAATGCTAGTTCTAAGTTTGAGTGCTGAAACTAACACTTTTTTTCATAACACAGAATGAAAGAGAATAAAGAACAAAATGGTCATCATTGATTTAGCAAATGGTTTTTAAAATTTTATTCAGTGTTGTAACAATTTGTTGTAAAGCCTAATGTATTTTCATAATGATGTTTGTCACCTAGAAACTGGGTAAAGAAAATCTCCTTCAGCGTCATGTTTATGGCGGGATGGACGACTGGGCGAGGTTCAGCGACTCTGCTGGGGGTGGAGGGGTTTCCTGTCACTTGCTTGAGTCATTGTGCACCTGGAAGCTCTCTATGGAGTGAAGCAGGGTCCTCAGCCAATGGACTTTGGCAGTGTCTGGACATATTGGGGGTGTCACAACTGGGGTGCTGCTGGCACCTAGTGGGTGGGGGCCCGGAGTGCTGCTGTGCACCCCACGTGGCACAGGACAGCCCTTCACCTCCCAGCAGAGTTATCTGAACCTGTTGCCAGTAGGACCAAACCTGGAGTAAACTGACTTGTCCCATGAAAATGGATTTGAGTGGTTTTTATTTTGGGAGTTTTCATTTTACCCTCTGAGATTATTAGGAATTATTTTGAAGTGTTGAAAACCAGACTAGAGATTTATTGACCTATAGGTTGAAACTGCTGTTTTACAGAAAAAAAGGAAAAGAAAAAGATAAATCACTGCCTTGGTGTCCATCATTATTTTAAAAGTATTCAATAACATTTGCTTAGCTGGGGTGGACACATTTGCTTTTATTAGTTATTTTGTACTCTTTATTCATCTCTAGCAGATAATACCAATTTGAGCAGGTAAATGTCACTGTCCCCAGACTGGCTGATAGTAAAGCCTCTGTGTTTAATCTCTTCTTAAACACTGCCACAGTGCTTGTTTTGCTCTTTACATGTGGGAATTCTAGAAAGTATTACATTGCAGGTTTTGAGGAAAGTTAAGGGTGAGCAGAACCCTTAATATATGTTTGTTCTCTTACCTAAATTTGTCAAATAAACTCTGGGGAAAACCAGTTTAAAAGTGAATCATTCATTTTTTTCCCATTTAAATGAGTCTTTTGATCTTTGACAAATACTTTTATTTTCATAACAGTCTAATGAAAAGACACATGAACCTAGCGTAAGATTTACTACTGGCCCAGTATTCTCATTAATATTGACCGTAAGTTTATAATTATAAAGATGAACATTAAATAATTCGATATCATTTTATTTCTGATTTCTACTGCTTGTTCAACATATCTGGAAAAATAAGAGCACATTTTTGTCAGATCTATTAGACCTGTATCTTTATAAAGGAATATTAATCCGTCTATGGCTCTTTGGGTTTTAAGAGGGACTAAGGTACTATAGTGCAAGGCAGAGCCGCGGAAATCTTATTTTTTGAAGTGAGACATATTCTTGCTTTAACAGAATGTGACAACACACTGTCATGGTGTCAGTGCACACTATGAAAGGCGCTCCAGGCAGAGCCACTGCTGTGGTCGTGTGATCACTGGAGCTGCCCGGTGTTTCTCACTGGACAGTGGTCCTTATCTTGAGTTTTGGAAACTGGATAAACACCTCAGAGGGTGAGGTATTGATCCACGTGTATGCCCTGTACTGTAGCAGGGCTGCAGCCCAGGTGAGACACCCCCGCCCATCTGTCCCAGGGGCCGAGCACTGGGCTTACCTGTGGGCAGACTCTGCATGTCCCTCGGAGCCTCCTTGGCCCGCGCTGTCAGTCTGGAGGTGCTCTTGCAGGTGGAGCACCCTCCCGCAGGTGGAATCCAGGAATGATGCTGAACAGCAGTGAGAAAAAGAAAAGAGACCCTGCCCTGGGGAGCGCTGGTGGGGAAGGTTCCCCCGAGGAAGCTCCTGCCTAGTCTGCAGCCCCCTTGGCACCAGGCTTTATGGGCTTCCCAGGCCCGCTCTGGCCCTGGACTGGCTCTCAGGACTGGCTGGGCTGAGCTTCCTTTTAAGGCTAGCATTAACCACTTTTTTGCTGGCCTTTTTTCTTCCATGCTTTGGTAATGAGCTCAATCCCACCAGACATTTTTATGGAAGTTTCCACTTTAATTACTTTTCTTCACCCATTGATACAAACTTTTTTTTAAAGTTCGAGGGGATTATACTCTTTATCCTTTAGCTAATAACCTATCATTGTTTGTTGAAACAAGCAATATTCTTGCATATTTTAGCAACTGACTATAAAACCAAACACTGAATTTTATAAGTTAACACAGTAGCATGTGAATAAGACATAGAGAATTTAACTTGCAAGTTTCACAAAGACATTTGTAGAGAGAAATTTAAATCCAAGAAATAGCAGGCAAGTAAATTAGCGACCTAAGTACAGGTTGAGCCATCCCTAATCCTGAAACCTAAATATTCAAAATTTGAAATTTTTTGAGCACCACAATGCCACAAATGGAAGATTCCACACCTGATCTCATGTGACAGGTCGCAGTGAAAATGCAGTCCAGACTTTGTTTCATGCATGAAATTATTAAAAATTCTGTGTATAAAATTGCCTTCAGGCTATGTGTATGTGAGGTGTATGTGAAACATAAATGAATCTTGTGTTCAGACTTGGACGCCATCCCCAAGATATTTCATTATGTATTTACAAATATTTCAAAATCTGAAATCCAAAACACTCTGGTCCCAGCATTTTGGATAAGGGATGCTCCGCTTATAGTTTTTCTCTAGGTGTCAGCTGTGTCTCAGCTCAGTAGCTGTCCCAATCCACCTGTCTCCCGGGTGTCGGCAATTGACTGAAGAGGCCTCTCCCCCCGTCACTGTTGTGGATTTGTTGACGTTGTGTGGACAGAGGATAAACTCCCCACGTTCCCAGTGTCTGAGCAGCCCTGTCTTTGGGCTGCCCTCTCGAAGTGCTCCATCTGCTGGCGGTTAGAATTCCGCCGCGGCTCTGGAGAGAGGCGCAGCCCCAGGGAGGGCAGGGAAGGGCCCAGCGCCTGCCCGTCTGTCCGCTGTGAGGACTTCAGGCATCGCGGGCCCTGGCTGCTCGGGCCAGCCATGGGGTCTTCATAGAAATTAAATTTCAGTTGATCTCATTTATACTTTCTTCTTGGTGTCTTTTTACCTTTTTAATTTTGTGAAGCTGTGAGATTGAACTCTCAGTGATCTTTCGAACACTGAGTCTGAATAACACAGATCGTCACAGCCTGAGGAGCAGCGTGGAAGCCGCACGTGCTCTTCCCGCAGCGGAACTGGCCACAGGCTGGAGGGAGCAGCGATGTCTACGAGGCCTGGCCGCACATGGCCCCTTTCTATTCTGTGATGAGTTTGTTGTACACGAGCCTCAGGCCTTTTGTGTGATGACGATTTAAAAATCTCTTTCAAATACATATTTTAGGAAATATACACATTTTTAAACAGTGCTGTGTGAAATTTTATATGGAAAAACACTAACATTCAGGGTTCCTTCTGGCTGTAGAAGTTCTATGACTTCAATATGTTAGCTTTTTTTATTTGAATGATAAAGAGCTGATTTGTACTTAGACATTTTTTGACCAGCTGTCAAGATGACTTCAACATTAAAAATGCCTGAGACACCATTTTGAAAGATGTGAGTCATGAGAAAGTACAGCTTCCTCTTGGGTTAAATAAATAAATAAAATAAAAATGCAAACCTTGAAATAGCCAAGGCATGTTACTTAAAAATAGCTGCTCCCTACTCGAGAAAACCCACAGCTCGTGGTTTTGCCGCTTGTCCCGGGAGTTGAGGAAGTGCCTCAGACTGTCCCGGGGTTCCCGAACATGCCACTTGCACACCTTTGCAGCAGAGGTGAATTCGCTTTGGGGTGGTCGAGTGGCTGATGCTCTTTGATTTTCTGCTTAAGGTGTAGAATCAGATAGCTGAATTGGGGCTGAAAGGTCTTAGAGCCCATCCTTCTTAAAGCACTCAATGGTTAAGTGACTTGTCAACCATCGTGCAACTAGTTAGCATAAGGGACAGCACCCAGACTGCAGCAACTTCAGTCCATGAGACCTCGTTAATGCTTTCTTGGGTAAGGTGATGAGAGGAGTCTGTGGAATTTTTGTCAAGCATAAAGACCTTTTGTTGATTTTAAAATCTGACATTTAACGAGTGCTCCTGTGTGCTGAGCCCTGTGCTTGATGCTGTGGGCACATTGTCTTGGGTGACCCTCCTT